AGCACTAAATGTCTGCTATTCTCCTCACAGAATGTAAACTGTTACTGTATAATTCTAAGTCTGTTAGCGGTTACACGCATGCACCCACAAGCCCACGCACCTTCCCAAAACACACACATAATTGCCACCATTGCGCACATCCACACACTAAATGTGATGTGGTATAGTGAGCTGTCAGACCGCACTAATTCCTCTTTTTATGTGTGTCTGTCCTACTGTGTAGCAGAGGGATCAGGATTGCCTTTCAGGATAACAACTGAAGCTCTAAGCTCTTTGTATGTGTGTGTGTGCGTGTGTGTATCTGGGTGAACAACAATTGGCCGCTAAGCTGCAAAGAACCTTGCAGCCATGGTGTCGCCAACAAATATCCACTGGCTGTCAGCAACGGACCAACTCTGAGTGTGTGTGTGTGTATAGCCAACTTCCTGTGGTGGATTGAAGTTAAGTGCCGCTATTAGACTTAGGCCTCCAGTTGGGGCTTCATTATCTGGGTGAAAGACTTGATTATGCTGACAGATACACACACGTGTGCAAGAATACACATGCATACATGAACTCTAGCACACACGCACGCCTGCAGGTCCGGCTTTTACCATTTCCAACATATGCAAAGACTTGTCTGCAGCTTTTTCTGCACAAAGACACACACGCACACTCACACGCCCTTCATCTCCTTCACACCCACTAAACTGTTATGACAGATGCATTCTCCAGTGTCTCCTTTGCTCCCTCTATTTGCCTTCCTGGCTTCTATAATCTCTCTCCTTAAGGCATAACAGTAGTTCAGCTGTCACCGGGATGGAAATGAGTTACATAAGATTTCGTTTTTTTAACCACAGGCACGCCCCGTAATTCACCTTGTAAAGCTTCGCATGTATCCTAGTTAGTGAATATGAGAATGCAACACCAAACAAACAAAAAAACAGGCCAAAGTTCTCGTACAATAGGAGATCATTTTGGAAATATTCACACCAGTGATGAGTAACATAGGAGAGAGCGATGAAGCGGCCTCCGAAGGCATCACATAATCCCTATTCATACCAAAAATGCCACTAGTTACTTCCTGTACCTCGAACTGCACAAAGTGACGTATGACAGTAGCAAGAGGACAAACTCAGTGGAAAGTAAAACCACAGTCAGGTGGGGGGATGCGCTTCAGCTCTGAGCTCTAGATGTGCCTCTGCCGCCCACATCGGAAAACAATTAAGAAAAGTTCAGCTTCTGAGAAAACATTTTCACTGGTAGAGAAAAGAAAGGTGTGGTGATTTTTTTCTTCTTTTACACCTACATTCTGTGGGGTTGAAGCCTCACAGCCTCTCTTTAACACCACCAGTTGAATTTATTCAACTGATTTTCCTCCCAAAGTAAAGTGAGCACATTATAGGTGTATATACGTCGTATTACAACAGATAACATTTTATTTTAAATCTAAAATGGATGGTTTTGGATTTAAAAGCATTGTGTTGTGTGTGTGTGTTTTTTTTTAATTCAAATGATTTTTATTTATATAGCGCTAAACCACAATAACAGTTGCATCAAGGCCCTTTATATTATGAGGTAAAGACCCTACAATAACACAAAGAAAACAGAGAGAACCCCAACAATCATGCCCCCCTCTGAGCAAGTGCTTTGGTAGCAGTGGGAAGGAAAAACTCCTTTTAAACAGGAAGAAATATATCCAAGGGATTTTAAAAGAAATTCACTGTACTTTTCTGCTGGGACAAAGAATATGTAAATACATTGTCCATACCAACACATCCACATAATCCCATGTTTAAAAAAAAACAGAGATTTCAAGTGATGGAAAAATGTGAAATCTACAGAGCCCCTGAAGTCTCTTCATGTGCATTTGTAAAAACTGTCAAGTTTTAAGTTTGATCAATTTTAATTAAAACTTAAGCACACATTACATTTTCTGTCAAGCCTCAACTTCTGTGGTTCTTTATGTTATTCTAAGGATAGTACTTTGTACCTTAACACAAGGGAAGAGCTAAAACTTGTTGGAAACACAAGGGTAATTTACACTTACTGGACAATTTGTTAGGTACAGGTCTTCAGCTGCTTGCTAACACGAGTATCTAATCAGCAGTTCAATGCATTTATTTCATTGACAAAGATTAAGCCTGCCCTGTATCGAATGTTCATGTTGGTGGAGATGTAATGGTAGGGGATACTTTCCTGGCAAACTTTGGGCCTCCTTAGTACCAGCTCAGCAGTCAAGAATTGTTGCTTCCAGCAAAAAAACACATCACAAAGATTCCATTTAAATATCTATGTACATATATATATTTAAACATGTAGAGACCTGGTGAATTGAAACTGAAAATACAACTTATCACTAGGATTAACAACCCCTCTTTTTAACAGCTTTCCCCCCCTCATTGAACCAAACCAAATGCTCTCCCCTGACCCCCAACATAAAGTTATAGTCAAATCCAATACAAGCAAGCTGTACTTGATAGTGTCTAGCGAATGCATGTGTGTCATTAACATTAAACTTTTCTCAGAACCGATCCCGTTAAAACTGTAGTGGAAGTGGAGAGCAGGAAACCTCCGTTTTCATTAGTGATAGCATTTATGCAAGCTACAACATTTTCTTTAAACTGTGAAAATGTAATTTCCTGGAGTGCAACTAACCGTGTTAGATTTCAGAGAAACAATATCTTGTCCTGTATCTTTTTTTAAAATTAGTGCAGATAGTGTGCTACATAAAAGTGTATCAATACAAAAATCCAAATGGAGACATACTAATCACCAGGGTGAAAAATTCACAGGCTTTTGACAGCCAAATTACACTTACATTACTCTTACATAAGCCCTGTAAAGCCTTAAGCATGTCATAATTGCCAAAAAATGTTTTGTTTTTTTTGAATGTCGAGTGCTTTTTTCAACCTTCTGACAAATTCAAAAAAGAGAAATTAAATATCACTTGGTATATATGAGTTTTAACTAGTGTTATATTTGCCATCTGGCATCTTTGTGCCAATCGACAAATTGCACAATACATAAAAATGTGTTGTGTCATTTGTTTATGTTTTCAGGGGTGGGCAGAATAGTATAGCAAAGTGCAAGTAATCATTATTTACATATGGCCCTGCAACAATTCCGGGGCCAGGGCCATATGTCTTTGTGATCTTAATATGTTTGACAGTTTTCACAGGGTGGTGCCCGTCTCCCTCAATTTCCTCTTCTGCTCGTTCTCGTTCCCTCACAGTGGTGTTTGATTGCTTATGCCTGGCCGACCTTCAGACAGACAGACAATGCATCCATGAAGAATAGCCTCGCTTCCTTCCTGTCTTCCTGTGCTGCGTTCTGCCTTGGTGAGCAGGGTGAATAGGCTGCTCTGCCCCACAGCCGCCATGAACCGCAGGGGCCACTGCGGCTAAAACCAACAAAGAGAGCCGTTCTGGGACCTTTTTTTTCCCTCTCTCTTCCTCCGACCCCCCCTCAGTCCTCTCCGCTGCCAAATCACTGCGACAAGCTTTCCCTTTCTCCTGCATTTATTCTTTTGTGCACCAACTTTTACTCTTTTTGTTTTGTTTTTCGTTCTCCTGGTCACATACATCAGTAAAGCACACCAGTGGCTTATCTTCCCTCTCAAGTAATGTGAAACCCTTAAAAACCCAAAGAAATGACTGAGTGAGACAAATGAGATACATCTTCCGAAGATGCCTTTAATCTAAACGTGACTTCTGCTAATGCAGAGCAAACATGCAATAAAAGGGATTTTTAAAAAAAGTATGTATTAAAAAGAAAGACCTGGTGAATTTGAGCTGAAAATAATACTTCTCAGTAGCATTAACAAACATACTCTTCTTTTTAACTGACCCCCCCTCCCTTATTGAACCCAACCAACTGCTCTCCCCCTACCCCCAACAAGAAAGCCATCTCCCTATGGGAATACAAAGTAGGAGCAGGTAGCAGAGAAGAGCGCTGGGGAGCCAAAATAACCCCCCCTCCCTTCAACTATTGAAAACAGGATGAATGCATGCCGGGCTGAATACAGGGGTAAACTGTTAGGTCTTTGTCATTCAAAGTGATGGTTTTAACCCTTTGCAGTCCCCTCTTCCTAACAACCCACTCCTTCTGCCTCACCCACCCTTCCCTCCTTCATTCACAGCTGAGATAATGGAGGGGTAGAGGCCTGTGGCTGCAAAGATGAAGCCTAAACACGAGATCAACTCTCTTTTCTGTCTCTAATAGGATTCTACCCGTTATGTTTCCATCTCCTCTGCCACCGCTGTAAAATAGGTGAAAGTTGATAATTATGTAAGACACCCCCTTTCCCCAATCAGTCAAAGGCTTTGGATGAATAACAAACAAGTGAGTGCAGGTTGGGCCTCGGCATGTCAATCACTTCCCTGAATGCATACCGCACTGCAAACACGTCCGTATGCTGTCAACAAGTGTCAGGGGCTTTATGTTTCAGGCTTATGTTTCCCCTGCAGGGACACTCAAAACCAAGGAATTCCTGAACAAACCTTTGATTAAAGGAAAAAATAAATAAATAAAAAATAGGGGACTGAGTATCTGCAGGCTCCTGTGGATCTTGCATGAAACAAACCTCAAGCCCGGCCAGAACGTAATAGCAGGCTTACATGAACGCATATTTGCAAAAACACAGGTGGAGTGTTCGACTTTAGAAGATGAAAAAGAGGCGACGATTGCATTCCTGCACACACGGGCTTTACCGGAGGCTTTGTCTAATGAGGTGAACATTAATGTGTTCCCGTTTCCGGTTTTGATCTCTCTAAACAATTTAAGTGATTGCGTTGTGGGGAAAATTCCAAAGCACCGGTTAATGACCGCCCTGCTTCGGATTTCGTGCCGAGGCTCAGTTAAAAATGTTGAGAATGTGCACCTTAAATTATATGAAGGAAAGTGTAAATCTAGATGAAACGGAGCTGCTCTTATGCCACAGTAAAGAGAAGCATATTCAGACAGTGAGAAACACACCAACAAACAGGAACAATACACACAAAAACAGGAACAACTACCGTCAGACTTCAGGGTTGTTTAATGTCAAACGTTAATATATTTGTCTCCTAATCCATAGTGAAATATTCATCCAGCTTTGACACTCGTACAGGGTCATCTCTGATCTTGCAGTGACTACAGAGTGACCCCTTCTCCCACAAAGAGGCGAAACATTGATGCCTTCTCAAAATAAATATTTTATCATTATAAAATAATAAACCTTCAAATAAATATATAGTTTTAACTTTATATTTAAAGTTATATGAAAATAGAATTTTCATATAAGGTCACTGTACAATTTACAAGTAGAAGGGATAAGATCTTTCTTTTGTAAATTACATAAACGTGATTAAGAAACATTCCAGTGAACGTAAAACAAAATTTCAAACAAACAAAAGGTCAATTATCTGATTCATATACACCCATTAGCCAAAAACATTAAAACCACCAGTCTCCCTTTTCTTAAAAAACACTGTGATTAATGTTGTGTCTGGCAGTGGGGACACTGTCATGGGTTGTGGGTTGGTGACTTTGTTTCTGATCAGTTTGGGATATTTTAACGTGTTCTTTCAAATCGTTCCTGAGGAGTTTATGAAGTGTGATGGGAACACTGTCCCCTGTCCCGGGTGGGGCTTTGCGTAAACAACGTTTAAATGGGCGGTACGTTTCCCGGGCAAACCTTATACTGCAATGACATCATTGCTTCGCTTGTCAGTGGTTTTAATGTTGTGGCTGATTAGTTTAGGTATGGATTCATCAAGGTGCCTCTGGCATGGCAGAAAACTTTTCTCAGTTGAAGTATTATGTACAAAAATAAAACATCTGTTCAACTCGTTTTCTGACGTACGCACACCGTTTGCAATTAAAACTTTACAGTCAGTAACAGGAATCTGTTCTTAGCATACAAGTTGTATTAAATGTTAAAACAACAAAAAGAGAGAAGACACTATCTGCTGGACTCTCATAACAATAAAACAACGAGGGCACTTGAGTGAACAAGTTTTTCAGGACATTAAGAAAAAAGGAGGAAAAAAAGACAGTAGTTGAATATGTCTTCATACCTTTAAATGTAGAGCGCTTCTTTTGGTTTACCTTTCAAGTGAAACTCCTAATGCTAGGGTGAGTGAATGCACCTCCCATGCCTTTAGTACAGAGATTTTTCTGAGCCCACTTTAAAAAGGCAGCATATTAAGGCCATTTTTCAGCAGATATTGTAATAACCTAGATGAAAAATACAAAACCTTAAGCACAACAGCATTATTAGATCTCTATTAAAACCTTTCATCTACACAACTACATGCCTATCGAGTTGAGTGAGCGTAGAGCCATTTCATCCATCTCAACACACACACTACGTCTACGTTGGTTTCCGGACATCCTCATAGTGGACTGAATTTGAGTTCTTGCACCGACAGCCGGGTCGTTTGGCTCTGTCATAGCAGCACTGACACACTGCCACGCATCCTTTAACCGGGAGGTAGCACAGGATACAGGGCAAGAACAAGGAGAGGAGCGACACGGTGACCCAGCGGACGCAGCAGTGGGACTGCGTGCACGAGAATGGCTTGTCCGTGCACGTGTCCTCGTCGTCGCTGGAGCAGTGGTAGAAAAGGCCTTTTATGCAGCAGACGCACGTCCCGTACTCCACTGCACTATCTGCTGAGCACACGCACCGCCGGCCGCACATCCAACAGGAAGGGAGCACCCGTGGGCGACGGCAATCTGAACACTGACATCGGCCGCAGTCCTCACACCTAACCGAGTGTTTACCTTGATTTCTATTGACACTGCTGCTCGTCATCACCACTACTGGCCTGGACTCCTCATTCAGGGGTTTCAGCTCCTCTGAGTTCAGTTCAGAACGCTTGGGCTGTGTTCTGATTATCTGTTCGCCGTTCTCTGGGCTGCCGATAAGCCTCTGGTCTGAAGAAACGCTTCCCACGCTGGTCCTGATGCTGCTATGGGAGTCGTCTACACTGGAAGACTGCATAGCACCCGGCGTGGAAGAGTTTCCGTGCAGGTTGCGGAGATTATAAGGCCTCTCTTTTTGAGTCTCCTGCTGTCCACTGCCTCCTAAGCCCTGTGATGTATCCTGAGTACCTGGAGACTTTTGGGCAACAGTGGGCCCTTCTGTGTACTCATTGCTACTCCCAGTTATCCTAATCTGATCCAGAGATAGCACTGGTTCAGTATGGGGCAGCTGTCCTTTGTTCAACCCGGGATTTGAAGGACCGTCATCAGTCTGCCGAGTCCGTGGTTCAGAGCTCCCTTCGTCATTCAGTGTACCCGCTGGCCGGTTCAATGATGACCCCTGCTGCCCTCCTCCCCCGTCGCTGTCGTTCTGACTTCTGGAAAACATCTCGTGACTGAAGGGCCACTGTGGCTGGCAGGGGACACATCTGAAGTCCTGTCAAAGAAACACACAGTTTATATCCGTATGGAGTGGCACGTCATGCAAATTATGCCATGCAAATCCTAACCGATGTCAGTACGAGCACCACTATGGAAATTAGGTCTAACAAACACATCAGTGTGGCAGAAAAGATCTGTTAGATCGCACAGTCGATGTAATGTTTTAAGTCACTAGCTGCTGTCTGCTGGGGCCTGCAGAATCAATTTTATGAAGGCTTCCTTTGAATCACAAGCGAGTCTTTGTCTGCTCTCAAAAGGCAGGATAACCAAAGGTTGTTTGCTCAAAGCTGAATCTAAATCCACTCCCAGACCTTACGTTTATGCCTCTGATATTTGAATTTAGGTGCTTTCCGGCTGCTATTTTGTGAAAACTTCCTGTTTTCTCGCATGTATGACAATAACTCACCATATCTGAAGAGAGAAAATTTGCTTAAAACAACAAAAGAACAACACTATCCTGCAGGTCTGCCTTACAAGGACTCACAATTTGTTATTTTGCGAGACACTCATCTAAAATGAGTCTTTAAAACAAGTTGTCAAACAGGCATTTGGATGCGTGTGAAAAACGCCCAGACTGCAATGGGGACTGAGACACACGAGGTGAAATTAATACCAGCTATGCAATGCTGGTAATGAATTGATGCTGTGAGGTCATGCTGCTGAACATGAAGAATCTTGCCCTTGGTACAAGTCCTACCACAGACCCTTGCTGCAGCGCTCACGCTTCCTGTCATCGATCTGGCATGTAACAAGGCTTAAAATGGCTGAAACTTCAGTTTCTCAAATGATGACTCTTTTGGTTGGCCATTTTAGTTTGCGTACTATATGCATGGGAAAAATTCACTATATTGTGGTATCTATTTAAAAAAAACAACCCCCACCCACCAAAAAACCCCAATAAAAACAAAGCTCGCAGACAAATTCAACGACAGCTTTGTTAACTTTGTTAAACTCAATGTACCAATGCAGGCGGCAAGAAGGTCTAAACACTCCTATAGAAAATTACACAATTATTCATGAGATTATAAAATTGTACATTTTATAATGTATCAGTTATCATTAATACACTGCTTTTGGGACACCCCTAATAAGCTTTATAATTAGTAACGCACCTACTAATTATAGTAGGTGCGTCTTTTTCCAGGTAAATCGTGATCTTAAAAAATATATTTATACTAAAATATAGATTTCCCTCCCATCCTCTTCTATTGGACATGAAGAAAAATTTCAGGTCATCATTCATCACAGCAGCTTTGTTGCTTATGTCAGTCAAAAGGCTGATAAAATTAGGCCTATTATAAGTGCATCACTAATCTGTCAGATTGAGCTTCGGGGCATGGCGATGTGCAATTTCTACCTACTTTATTTTAGAAGGCAAAACGTTAAAATAACCAGATTATAGCAGCATCAATACATCAATTAATGCTATGACGGTTGTTTACCTTATACTCAGAAAAGCCAATCGGTTGCTTGGTAGTCAACTGTCAGATCTGAAATTGTCGTTCTATCATAAGATGTTAGAAGACATCACCACTGGCTGAGGAAAAGTAAAAAATATTTTTCACTTTATTAACCTTCCAATAACCAACACGATCAGCCAACAGTCAAAATATCGTCTGACACAGCAAAAACATCAGAGGTAAATTACGTGTCAAATGACATGTTTCACATTTTCTATGCCCGTCTCTCACAGGGTCAACATTTCCATCGTTAGAGGTTGCATACTCTGATGATCAAAGTTCATTTCTTTTTTAAACACTGAAGATTGATGTGGGTCAAACTGATAACTCAAACGAGGAGTTACATGCATTCTTTCATGCGCTTCAAGAGGAGAGGAAACCAACTTCATTTCTATTAAACAAAAAAAACAAACAAAAACAAAGCAAAGAGCACCAGTGTCTAATAAGAGTTTAAGATGAAGCAAACCAATACAACAGCTTCGACTTCCCAACTACTGGATACTCACCCCAGATCAGCCATAGTTTCCCTTTGAATGTATTAACAAAAGTGCTCTGTACACAGGCTCATTTAAACCACTGCCTCACACCAAAGTGATAGGGTGGTGAAAACGAAAAAAAAAAAAAAGGTCTTGATTCTTGTGCTCGTGCTAATTACCTTTTAAATGCAATCTTTTTCGAGAAGTGGAGGGACCAAGGCCACCCCTCTTTTCAGTTACAATACAGGAACGGCTTTTGTTTGTTCCTGTGGCAAGTGGCAAATGGCCTGCAGCAACCTTCCCCATTCGAGCACATTTTTACATTGTTAGACAGCTGAAAAGATGATGAGTGACAAGATTTGAAGAAGAAGTTTGGAGCAAAGAAAGAGGCCATGTTAAGTGGGAGTGCACTCAGAGGCTTTGTGTATGGTGGGACATCTTTGGGAATATCTTGGGTTCTTTTGGTTTTATAAGCCTGGTTAAAACAGACGCCTCCACACAGGAGTCTGTGACAGTGGGAGGGAAGCTGGAGCTCTGTGACAGGATCGAGCTTCCTAAAACTAAACAGAGCATCAGCCAAAAAGAAAAAAAAAAAAGACATTAAAAAAATTGAATGCTGAGTAAAACCAGAAAGCCCAATAACTCGCGCGGGTTCTGATACGCAACCGATAAGCGCCTTGCCACTGTGTGCATGAGATTTATAATGCAAACATGCGGCACGGAAAACACGTTTAAAAGAAAGAAAAGCTAAGCGGACAGCTCGCAGCAGCGGACGGAAACAGTGCAAACTGTGGGTGCACGTACGAGCAAACACGTGCCAACTTGGACACTGCTACTTCCTAATAACCAGACACCAGCGGTCAGGTGAACAATTAAGCTAAATGAGTCATTAGTCAAAGGGAAGGCGGTGGCTAATTTTAGAAGTTAAAAGGGAAAGAGGGACCTTATAAACTTAAGAGGGGAAGGGTGACTAAGATAATGAGCTCAAAACTAAGCCAGCAGCTATGTTAAAACCATAACAGTGCACGTATGAGCCAAGTGCAACCCTAAAGGACGGGAGTGACAAAACCACAGCTAAGAAAACTGTGAGGGGGAACAAAGTTTGTTAGTCCAAAGCTTCAACCAAGAGCATGCGTATTGTTAAAAAAAGAGAAAAAGAATAAGAAGTACACAGGTCACACTTACCGTGCTCGCGACACTTTTAGACCCCCGTTTAGGTGAAACAAATCCAAGTTGAGGGGGCGAGTATTCCCTGCGGCAACACTTCAGTCGGGAAAACCGTCGGTAAAATCCATTGACAAAGCTTCCAGCCGGAGCGCTCCTTCGGGAGAAGCGGCGCTAAGATGTAAATCCCATGTTTTTGCGCAACAGCACGAGGCGTTAAAGCACGCGATAACTTCAAACAGCCGCCGCACGAGTTTATTAGCAAACTTAAAAAAGGAAAGAAGAAAAAGACGGGAACTAGAGAAGAGAAGCAGGCGACAAACCTCCCATTTACAGGTAGTTTTCACTCCGTGTGTTTTATCCGCGACGCTCAGAACGTCTTGCAAGTACTTTTTTTTTTTCCTCGCGTGTGAGTGTGATTTTTTTTTCTCTCTCTCTTTCCGGAGAGGTCGGGATTTGCGCTGTATGTGGCGTCAACCTGAAGGGGGGGGGGGGCAGAGCGCTTGTTGTGACAGCGGATATATCGCATCCGGTGCTCAACCATTGAATGCCAGAGAGTAGCCATTCACACCCAGTCTGATCAAGCCGATTAACCTCTTTGGAAATATGTGTGCTTGGGCCCGTAAAGTCTTCAGTTTCTTATAGCTGACACATTTTTTTTAAATAAAAGAAGCACGTTACAGAGCAGTCCCCTGAAAATAATGTGTCATATGCTTACCATGTGAGGGTGTTTATAGGTTGCAAATAAACAGAATGTCAGTCCATTCGATTTGTTTTTAGCTAACTTTACAGGGTACATGGGTAGCACAGTATTAGTATTTTCTACTTAATGCAGTTTGTGTACTTTGTGAAAGTGAAAAAAATGTAACGGTTACATTACATTGCATTATGAGAGAAGCTGGGTAATTGAGCACATCTTGTGAAGTACAGTATAACTGCTAGGTAGTGGTTTTGTACATTTGTGTAACATTATGTTGATGAATATTGAATTAACCTATATTAGGATTTATCACCCCTTTCCAAGTGTAAATTATGGCCTCAGAGTTAAAAATTTGTCAATATTGATTTTGTCCAATAAGATAAAGTTATCCCTCTTCAGTTAATGTTTTTGCTGGAAAATGAGATTGACAAGCGTACCAACACTAAAACCTGCCGTAAATGTTGCAATAAGATAGAGTTTGTAGTTGCAAGCATCTTGCCGCCCTGCTTTTACTCGTGTGATTGAGCTGTTAACTTGCTCAGAGTTAGGAGCTTGGGTTGTCGAGCTAAGTGTGTCCAGTGTTCGATGGTTTTTCAGTTGAGGCAGTTAAATGTAAGTCTACTTCACTGACATGGTCTCAGGGTGGTGGTGTGTACAGATGACCTCTCTTGTTTGTAATATTCCCACAGTATTTACATTTTATTTGAGAAAATCTTGATATTTGGTGTTCCTGTACAACATTGCCATGTAAAATATCACGATGCTATGCCGTATCGATTTTTCCTTTTACCCTTACTGCTTAGGTAGCCTTTTTCTACTGCTGTCTTTTTTGGTGCTACTTCTCACTGTTTATGTAACAGCTAAATTCATTTTATACATGATTACATTTTCAAAATTTGACTATAATATAACAACAAAAACATATAATATATAGAGTACATTTACTCAAGTACAGCAGAAGTTCACTTCAATTCCACTTCCTTTCTCAGGGAGATTGTGTACTCTTTAATTCCAAGTTTAATTCCAATTAACAACTACGGCTAGATGCCAAACTGTTATACAGCCTGCAAATTGTGACTGTTTATAAAGGATGGTGTGGCTTTATTTATCGAAGTGCTTGCTAGTAACTGACAGGGATGCTTTTAATTTAAAGTAAAGTAATTTTACTTTGAAACACAACATCACTTCTTTTCTTTTTTTTCCACACTCCCAAGTCCTTAATGGAAAACTACTGTCTCCCTCTAAAATCAAGGTAAGCTGAAGACAAACTGCGAGATGCAGTGCCAGATGGAGTAGTTTCACATACTCATATTGACTTTCCTTTGACGTACAGGGCACTGAGTTAATCTTACTGAACACCTCAGGACACTTTTCTTATTTCACACCTTTTTAAGCTCTGCTACCAGGCTGCTATGGATTTAAATCCAAAAGCAATCAATGAGAATTGATACAACTAATTAGCAAGTCAATACTGTAGTTACCCCAGAGCTCTTGTGAATAATTATAAAGTGGCGCCACTGTGTGGCCATCTCCATATACTACAGGCTACAATCAATAGCATGTGGATTTTCTAATATAATAATAGATTTAAACTAGCTTCCAAATCAGTCACATTCCTTTAAATGACTATGATAAACACATGGGCACCAATAAAGAAAAGCAGAATGGCATAAAGATGAAAATAGGATGCGGATCAGTGAGTCTGGATTTAGATTCAAGGATGAAAGATTGAATGGTTGTTATTTAGTAGTCAAGTCCTACACTTATATCATCTTACAAAAAGGCCTGGACAGACTGTTACCCGCCTTGTGTCCCTGCAAAATAATAAAAAGAGCAATTAGCTTGTGTTCAGCGAGCCTGAACTCAAGCAGAAGAGATTCAGTGAAAACAATGGACTTGGACATCTCCATTCCCCCGTTTTCCTCTAATTTAGTAATAGAGTGTCTGATCAATTTCAGACAGAATAATTATGAAGTTGTGAGAAGCACACTGCTGAGAGAGGTCACTTTAATCAGCTCAGTGTATGACTTGGCAAATTAACTTGGATCAGGGTCAGCAGGCTCTCAAGACTTCCCACTTTCTTTCTACAATTTGTCTTCCTTTGTTCTTCCCTGGCTGCTCTTCATTTACCCTTAAAGCTTTGTTGTTCTTGATAACATGTTACATGTCTCCAGCAGCACACACATACACAAAATGAGCCAAGGCACAATCAAGACTTGCAAAATAATTCTGTTTATTTAGGTGCTACATATGTAATGTCCCCCTATTTGGTAATAAACACTTTACGTCACTTACATTTGATAATTTAGACACATTCTGTTGTTGTTTGTTAACTATCAAACATCACATTTTCAGTTAAGCTCTGAAACAACCAGATCTGTTTTTTCACTTTAATCTGGTCAGACTTGATTTTTGTCCTTTTGTGTGAGTATTATTATTATTATTAATTATTATTATTATTATTGTGTTGTAATTAGTGTGTGAATTCTTGTGTTACGGCTGAAAGTTTGTTTCTTTCTTGTCATAGTGGCCTTTGAAACAGTCTACTCAGCTAATTCTTGATGTTTGTGGCAGTTTGTTAATATGAGTTGTGCAGTTGTGTCAGTTTCGGTAGGCATTTGCTTACGGAGAAGGGTTATCAACCTACGCAAACATGCTCCCATTCAGTTCTTCCTAAAGCTCAACAGCACTTAGTTTGTCTGTATAATGGCATGAAAAAGTATTTGCCTCCTCTTTGACTTCTTGTTTTTTTCTTTTCTTTTCTTTCTTCTTTCTTTCTTTCTTTTCTTTTCTTTTCTTTTTTTTTTTTTTACATATTTCTCACCTTTAAATATTTCACCTCATCAAACAACTTTTAATATTACACAAAGTTAACCTGAGTAAATATAAAAATGCAGTTTTCAAATGATGGGGAAAAGTCTCTGCCAGCCTACGAGGCCCTATGTGAAACTGTGAAACTGGTTTCACTCATACTCTGATGGAAGCAATGGGGAGCAACAGTCAACCGAATTTTTCCCCTAAAATTCTTTTGGATTATCAAGATGTTTTTTTGGCACTTTGGTTTCGTTTCGATCAGTAGTGGTTTTCGCCTTTGAACTTTCCTATGGAGGCTGTTTTTGCCCAGTCTCTTTCTTATTGTTGAATCATGAACACTGACCTCAACTGAGCCAAGTGAGGCCTGCAGTTTGTTGCATGTTGTTCTAGGTTCTTTTGTGATGTTTTGATTGAGTTGTTGATGCACTCTTGGGATTTATTTGATAGGCTGGCCACTCCTGTGAAGGTTTACCATTGTTTCATGTTTGATCCACTTGTGGATAATGGCTCTCAACATGGTTTGTTGGAGTAGCAAAGTCTTAGAAATGTCTTTGTAACTCTGTCCTGGCTGATAGATGTCAGTGACTTTGTTTCTTGTCTGTTTCTTGTGTTGTGTTGCTGGTGATCTGGTGGAAGTTAAGAGGTTAAGCTATTCAAGTTTTGGCCAAACCTGCATTGAGAACTACACATTTCAAGTTCAGGAAACGCATACCAAAACTACTCCAAAAAACAAAAGCACAATTTCTGCCATCTTTTGTTTATTTTTTTTGTTTTCAATATGAGTTAAATTATTTAATGAACGGGTAACACACATAATACACAGTCTTAATTAAGAGCAAAGTTACCATCTGTTATGGCCTATCTCCTGCCTTTATTTGGGACTATAGGCCACATGAAGATGATAGTCTAATCATGGAAACTGTAATAGATTGAAGATTTGCTGGGCTTGTTGAATTAAAAGCATTCACAGTTGTGGAACAAAAAGGTGGTTTTAAAGTTAGAAGTCTGACCTTTGCCTTACATAAAATAAGGTCAAGCACACAATGTTTCCTTGCATTTTTGTCTCGTCGATATTCTATTTCCTTTTGTGTCAGCGATTTCCTCCTCACACTCTCATGAATTTCTGTGTCAACAGATGAGTTTTCGCATCTGCGGCACAATGATGCAATGGTAGTAGGTCCTTAGCAGACACACTTGTGCCGATGAGCCAGGCATGAGCGAAAGGGTAAAGATTTCAGGGTATGACTAATTTTCCTCTCAACTCCCACCTCGCTCATTATGTAAACACAAAAAACTTGTGCTCAACTGGACAGACACCCCTCATTTCCCTTCCACCGTGCATTTTCACTCAGAACTGTGTTTCCTTAAGGGAATTACTGCAATCAAGAATAGATGTATAACACTGAGGCTCTTTACTGGCTACATTCCTGCCCCTAGAATCAAACAGAGCAAAGACTGCTAAATTAAAGAAGCTTTTAATATTTCTATTCAAAATGTA